TTGTGTGAAGTTTGAGTTGTTCTTGAGCGTACTTAGTTTACTCATCATCTACTCTTAAAGAGAGTCTTGTTCTTGAGTGTTTAGTGTTGTATACACGTTAAGGGAAGCTTGTTTCCCTTGGTTGTACGAAGGAAAGGTATTTTCCTTCGGGTTGAAGTCTTGGAGTGCGGTATCTCCGAGCAAGTGTTGTTGAGGCTCGTGGGACTCAAGTTCTCAGGTTGTAACGGTTTGTTAAGTACCCGTAAGCTTAACGGAAGTAGTGTAGCTCGAGAGAGTCTCTCGGGAGACTGGATTAGCCACACGTTGTGGTGAACCAGTATAAATCTTGGTGTGCTCCCTTTACGCTTTCTACGCTCTTTACTTTTCATGTTCTTAATTTTTTTTATTCCTGCGATTTCTACGATCAAACGTGTTATATCTAAGCTCCGGGTTTGTCGGTATTAAGCTCGGATTTAAGGAACAAGCTCCTTCTTTTGCAGGATGGGTTGATAATCGATTGTCTAAGTTGGATAATCGATTATTTGCTGGTTCAGTTTCTTGGATTTTCGGGAGGGATTGATAGTCGATTATCAGTATTCTGATAATCGATTGTTTCAGGCTGCAGATGTTTCAAAGTAGTACGGATAATCGATTGTCAAAGGAGATAATCGATTGTTGAAGGCTGCAGGTTTTTTCAACGACGACGGATAATCGATTGTCAATCAAGAGAATCGATTATTGGGCAGAATTCTGGGCAGGAAGAAGTGTGTTTTGGTGGGGAAATGGCTTGGAAAGATATGGAGATGATGAAGGAGTTCTTTTGGTATTTTTAATATGAGGAAAGAAAAGGGGATTAAGGATAGAAATGGTGGGAAAAGAATTGGATAGAAAATAATGATGGATAAAACCAAGTTGGTGTTAAGAGATATTACACACCCTTATCTTAACTTGGGGTTTGAATCTAGAATTTAATTAAGATATGACACACTTAATCAAATATCTAGAACCTAAAACTCACACTTAAGATAACCACTCTTAAGATATAAAATTAGGAATTTGGCTAAAATAGCATCACACTATTTTAATAATACTCAAAGAGTAAAAGATTTTAATATTCAAAGGTTGTGTTACAATGGCCATAAGGCCTGAGTTATATAGGCAGGGGAAGGGGGAGATGATGCACAATACATTGAATGTAGACATTAGGAAACTTCCTAGCAACATCCTTCTCCAAAGCATGGGGTAATCTTTCTTCATTCCTGTCTCCTTGGTGGACTAAATCAGGGATGGGGCTGGGGTTTGTGGGGGTTTTGTGTTTTGGTTCCTTGTGGTTGTTTCCTGGTTGTTTTGTGGCTAATATTTAGGTAAAAATGGGGGTTGTTTTTGGCTAATAAAAGGGGGCAGGGATGGGGGATATAATGTGTGGTTTTGGACTTATAAGTTTGGGTAATTTGCTAGGGAACATGGACAGGATATATGGCTGGTGGTGGGTCATGGTTTTTGGCTCTTTGTTGATGTTGTGTTAGGATTGTGAGGGATATTTGGCTAGGGATTTAGAGGAAGGGAGAGAAGGTTTTATTTGTTTATTAAAAGGCTTAAAAGAAGGAAAATAACAACAAACAAAAGGTTTTGGTTTACACACTCTTATTTTCGGCCAGGGGCTAAAATAAGAGTAATAAGAACTTTATTTTGAAATGAATTAAATGGAAAGGGGATTTGGATATTTAGGGTTGGGTTGGATGGAGTGGGAGTCGGTTTGTGGAACCCTTTGGCCCAAAGTTATTCTGGCCGCTCGGGTTGAAGGACTCGGAATTCGCACTAAAATGGATCATAATGTTTGAACGTGCATCCTTTGGTCTTTGCAAGGGTGGGGGACATGGGGGAGGGTATGATAGGGCCAGGCCCAGATATAACAAAATGCTATTCACCCCCCCTCTAGCGTTGGTCACTTATTTTAACAATTGGTATCAGAGCCTAACTCGCGTCCAAACTTAATCGTTTGAGAGAAAAGCGATCATGGGTTCTTGTTCTAGAAATTTGTATGCAGGAATAGGTGAAGGGCAATCAACCACACGACCACCTCTTTTTAATGGAACCAATTATGCATATTGGAAAGAACAAATGAGAATCTATATTCGTTCCACGAACTTCCAATTGTGGTTGGTTATAAAAAACGGGGAAGAGGTGCCGAGGAAGAAAGTCGGAGACAAGTTGATCCCCAAGACCGAAGACGATTTTGATGCTGAGGACATCAAAAAGGTCGAGAATTATGCAAAGGCAATAAACATGCTTTATTGTGCCGTAAATCCTGATGACTACTGCAAGATCTCCTGCTGCTCAACCGCCAAGGAGATGTGGGATAAACTTGAGGTGACGTAACGGACCAAGTACGTGAAGCCAAGATTGACTTCCTCACCCAAGAATATGAGATGTTCACGATGAAGGAGCACGAGAAGATTGACGACATGTTCGACCGATTTTCCAAGATAGTAAACGATCTTCAAGCATTGAAGAAGACTTACACCGACAGGGATCTTGTACGAAAGATCCTACTGAGCTTGACATCCGAATGGCGATCTAAGGCCGATGCCATCTATGAATCAATCGGCACATCAAATGTCACCATCGACGGTTTAAGAGGTAACTTAAAAATGTATGAATCTACTATACCTAACCCGTCTTTGAATGATCAGAGAAAAGGCATAGCATTAAAAGCCTCCAAAGAACTGGCAATGAATGACTCAAGCGACGAAGATGAAGTCAAGCTTGTCATGAAGAAGTTTTGTAAACTTCTAAGGAAGAAAGAGAAAATTGAGGATAGCCCTGTGTGCTATGGATGTGGTGAAGCCGGGCACATCAAGAACAAATGCCCAAGAAGCGGAAGGAATGCTCGTCACTTCAAAAAGCAAAGAGTATACATCTCGTGGGGTGGTGACTCCGGTGATGAATCAAGCGAACAAGAGGAAGAAGAGGAAGCAAACCTTTGTCTCATAGCTCAAGAAAAAGAGGAGTCCGCCAACAACGAAAACCAAGAGGCATGTATTTCTTCTACTGGTTCTTATTCTCTTGAAGAAATGCAGGAAGCTCTCCAAGAGCTTTATGACGAGTTTGTTAGCGCTTCTAAAACCAACAAAGTTTTAAAGAAACGTTTTTCCAATCTTGAAACCTGTTGAAACACGGGCATGTCACGTTTTCGTACTAAAGCCGTGTTCGTTTTTTTTTGTAACAGGTTTTGATAATGCCAAACCGCCGTGATCAAGACAAACATTGAATATACAAGGCGAAGAACGAAGATAAAGAACAAGAGCTAAAAGAGACCAAGAACGAAGACCGCAGTCTTTAGTATTGTTGAGTCGGTCATAATTGTAATCAAGACCGACCCAACCCTCACGCATTGGCTCTTTAGGCTANGTTCTTCCGCATTCGTAGTGAACTCGGAATCCTTGACTCCACGATGATCTAATTTGTGCATTTTATCATTCTTTTATCTTTGCTTGAATACTTACTAACTTGAGCGTCGGAGGGTTTTCTAACTCTTTTTTGCAGGGACGGTTCGAAGTGAAGAATTCTGGAAATCAGGGGGAACCAGCGATGGGTAGGCCATACCATCGCTGGGTGGGAGGTTTTCTTTTTTTCAGAACCCCTCTTCCCATCGATGGGTAATTGACTCTATTTTTTTAAATTCTTAACGGATTTCCAGAAACACCTTACCCATCGATGGGTATTTCATCCCATCGCTGGGTGAAGGACTTTTGTTAAATTTTTCCAGAACCTCCCTACCCATCGATGGGAACTTTCTCCCATCGCTGGGTGTTTGACACTGTTTTTTAAAACGTTTTAATGAATTTCCAGTAGCCACCCTCCCATCGATGGGTGTGTTTGACCATCGATGGGAAGGCAGCCTTGTTTTCCCCTTCGCTTTCCAGTGTCGACCTTCCCATCGATGGGAAGTTCCACCCATCGCTGGGAAGCCTGCTGCAAATTCAAATTTTTTAACCGTTGGTCACCGAATTTATGGCCCAACAGTCACTTTTTTCAAATTCAAACGGTTTTCTCACCCTTCCCTATATATATCCTTCATCTCTACTCATTTTAACACACCTTTTTCACTTCAAAATCTCCTCTATTACATAATTCTTCATCATTTTGCTTCAATCATGGCCGGAGGAAAGAAGACAAAGGCTTCCAAGAAGAAGGGCAACGCCGAAGCTACGACCTCTGCGCCCCAGCCGTTTCCGTACCTGGACGGATCCTTCTTGGAGTTCGGGTCGGAAGAGGAACTCACACGCTTCATCACCCACTTCGCCAAGCGCCCCATCTCTCCGCCAAGAGTGCTGCCCGAGCTATACCCTCATCAAAAGGGGTACCACGACCTCGACAATCAACTCAAAGAGTCGGGTCTGTGGTCGTTCGTCTCCAGAAGCCGTCAATCCTACAAACCCGCCTACGTCCGGGCTTTCTACTCAAATCTCCACCAGGACGGGGACACCATTCGCAGTAGCATCAATCTCTACGACATAGAGATTGATTTGGCTACCTTCGCTCGGGTCGCAGGGCTGCCCACCCGCGGTGACGACATCGCAACATATGGCGGTGATGATTGGATCCTCAACAACGAGGCGGTGGTCATCCGAGAGCTGGGAATCACCAACCTCGTCCGTCACAGCGGCGCACCAACCATTCACTCAGCCCCGCCAGAGAAGCATCTTCTACTCTATATCCTCACCCGGATTCTTCGCCCCCGGGACGGTAGCCACACGTGCCTCTTCAACGAGGATCTCAAGGCCGTTCATGCTATCACCCATGGCGCCTCAATCAATTGGGCAAAATACGTCATGATTCACATGGCGGATTGCGCCTCCATCACCAACGAGCGGAGCTTGCCATACGCCTTTCTCGTCATGGACCTCATCGCCTCCGCCGACATCCACATCGCCAGCCCGGATACAAAGATGACGAAGATTTGGATCATCCAAGATAGCACCTTCCGGAAGAAGTCTGGAGACCAAGACGGCGCCGGACCAAGTCGTGCCCGTGCACCAGCCCGTGCCCCTGCCCCCGCTCCCGCCCGGGCCTCGTTGCAATCCATAGCCGATACTCTGAATCGGCTAACCCTCACAGTGGATGGCATGGGGCAGTCAATCGAGCGGATGGATTGGACGCTGCAACGTCAACACCATGACATGACGGCGTTCTTCCGCGGCATCAACTACGTCCCGCCGCCCTTTGACAGCACCATCCTCGGCCAGAACTATGAAGGCGAGGACGAGGAGGATGACTCCTATGCTCCGTCTTCCTCCCCCGACGAGGCCGACTTTGAGGACGCGGTCGACGGGGATCCCATGGACGTCTAGGATGACGAGAACGAAGACGATGACGCCGAGGACGAGGACGCCGCTGCCTAGACTCTTCTCTCTCTCCTTTCCCTACTTTGATTGCAATTTTTTATCTATTTCAATTCCGTTGTATTCAGCATTTTCTCATCTTTTAATGAATAAAAGTTTACTTTTAATTCCTAAAGTTCACTTTTAATTCTTTTTGTTAATGTCAAAAGGGGGAAGATATCAAGGTTATGCATAAATTGAGGGGGAATT